TAATTTAGAGTTATTCCAAATGGATGTTAAAACTGCATTCCTTAATGGAGAGTTGAGGAAAACGACATATATGGAACAACCTGAAGGTTTTCAAGTGAAAGGATAGGAACATAAAGTTTACAAGTTAATAAATCTCTATATGGTTTAAAACAATCTTCTAGACAATGGTATCTCAAGTTTTATGACGCGGTCACCAATTTGGTTTTGTTCAAAATAAATTAGATAATTGCATATATGTCTTGAAAAGTGAGAGCAAATTCACTATATTATCTTTGCATGTGGATGATATATTGCTCGCCGAAAATATCATAGAAATGTTGAACAAAACCAAGTCAAATCTCAATGAAAAGTTTGAGATGAAAGACATGGGTAATGCATCATATATTCTTGGAATTCAAATAATTTGAGATAGAAAGTCTAGAATGTTAAGTGTAAACCAAGAAAAGTATTTAAGATCAGTTCTTAAATGGTTTGGAATGGACAATTCCAATCATGCACCAACTCTGTTGGTTATAGGAAAGAGATTATGTAAAGAGTAAAGTTCTATAGAGGGGTAGAAACCATCATTAGATTTTTCTTATGTTCAAGCAATTGAAAGCTTGATGTATGTAATGTTATACACCAGACTTGATTTAGCTTATGTTGTAAGTATGATTAGTCGATATCAAAGTAGTTCAGGACCAGCATACTAGGAAGCTGTTAAAAGGATTATGAAGTATATCAGAGGCACATTGACTCATAGATTGATTTATCAAACGAGTTTGCTTGAAGTCCTCGGTTATTTCAATGCTGATTTTGAAGGTGATAAAGATGATGGAAAGTCCACTCCGAAACACTTATTCATCTTTGGAGGAGGAGCTGTTTCATGGAATAGCAAGAAACAAGGGTGGGTTGCTAGATACACGTAAGAAGCTGAATATGTAGCTTGCAGTATGGCAACTACACATACTGTCTAGATAAGACGATTTCTGATTGATTTATATCTCAATTTGTTAGAAGAACTTGTTGATATTTGTTGTGATAATCAAGCAACGATTTGCTTGATCAATAGTGGTGCAAATAGTTTTAAAGGAAAACACATTGAGATCCAGTATCACCATATTCGAGATATTGTAGAAAAAAGAGAAGTTAAAGTGACTTATATCCCAACTACAGATATGATTGTTAATCCTTTGACAAAAGGAATACCAACGGAATCCTTTATCAAACATGCAAGTTTGATGGGACTTAGGAATAAATAAGTCCAAGTAAAATTTCATGACTAATGAAATAAGAGTTACTCTCTATGAATAGTGGGAGTAATGGTTAGTAGAAACACTAATCTCACGGATAGTGGGAGTCATATCACTTGGTTAATTTGGTCAAGTGGGAGATGTTAATTTGACTTGGTCTTGTGTGACCAAATCAACCATTCTTCTCTAAACAATAGGATTTTTAGTTGAGAGAATTATGGGAAGTGGGGTTGTTTGAGAGAATATCAATCTCAGATATTGAGGCAGTATTTTGAGGGGGTGGATATGATGCGGTAGCATCTATATAAAGGATAGTATTCTCTTTGAGAAAATGCAACACATAAAAGAAAACCCCAATCCCATTACCGGAGCCCCCTCAAAGCAAATTCCCATCACTTCTCCTCTCCTCTAAAAGTTACACCACCATCTTAAAAGGAGTTGGGTTTGTTTGGGACCAGGATTTGAGTGATTCAAGTTGAAATAAACTGTTCTTAGCTTCTGTTTCTGTTAGAGCTTTGGTTTGAGTATAGTTGAGAATGAGAGAGAAGAGGAGGAAGGGACACAAGCATCTTAGTGTTATGAAAAGTCCATGTAATTTCAAGAGGAAACTACCTTAAACCATATTATGGCTATACTTTTTATATTAGGTTAAATGGCATGATTCGGATGTAACTGTTTAATATTTTGATATAAAATAGCATGACAATAGAATATAGCAGATTTGAGAATGAGTTACCGTTGCAGCCCAAATCGACCACAAAGAAATATGAAGATATGCAGAAATACAATATAACTACTGCAAGTTTCCTAAATAAGAATATATTTAACAAAGCAGTCACGTAGAACAAAAGTAGCGGAGGCTAAACTAAACCAATCCAGAATAAGCAACATAATAAAACAAAATGGTCAACAGAAAGAAAGGAGTAAACCAGCAGCTCTGAGGGTCAACGATCCTTCGTCCAACTGTTGAATCAACTTATATGCTTTGTCTCCATCTGGACCTGTGATTAATTACTAGGGAATATTGTGGGAAAATATTAGTGTGACTCAGGAGTATAGAGGTCCATGCAATTTAGACTGAATGAGGAACAGAAACCAAACAAGTACATCATGTTTGTTTCTCTAGATCAACAAAAGTAATCCAATCCACAAGCTACATCGATAGCTACTGCCTTTTCAACTATTTATGTTATGAAAGCCATGCAATTGGCAAAATAATATTATCAACAAACAAAAAAATGGTAGTAGTAGCCTTTTTATTAGAAAAATACTCTATTATTTTTATCTTATTTACTAATTCAGTATGGATGAAACAACAAGAAAACAATAATTCATGGATGAACCCCCTCCATTTAGTACGTGCAGAGACAGAGTTCATAACTAGAACCTGTTTGCTTATCAGATTTAAAAATCTAAATATGAACTGATTTGATTTGATAAGCACCACTTATGTGTTAGATTAACTCAATAAATCACATATTTATTTCAATTTGTTTGTGGGCTCATCTGGATCTTATATTTCTGGGGCTTTAGCCCCGTGGCTCAACTCCACCAGATTTGTTGATTTTAGAGTAAGAGAACCAAAATATCATGTAGCTAAAATAATTGATGACAAAAAAACCGATATGCTTACCTTTTTGTTTGTGTATATGAAGTTCTTTGTTCAGCTGGTCTCTTTTCGTAAGAGAGATCTTGTACTCATTCAAACAATATTTTTTTCCTTTAGTGTTAGAAATTAATGTTTAAAGTGTCTATATACAGCTATCTCATGGCACATCTTAAATCATCACCCCACCCCCCACCCACACCCCCTGCAGTGAGAAGGTCACGACACTTTCAAACATAACAGCTTCTTATGTTAGCAATTACCACACACATACATGCATATTTCTACATGCCTACCTAATAATCAAAAGAGAGACAATGAGAAAGAATCTGATGCTAGGAGAAAGGCAAAGAATGTTTCTTCTATTTCAGAAGATTAGGTGAAGAAATAACTATTAGTGTATTAGATTTGTGATCAAGTTAAAACAATAAAGTAGTGACCCATTTTTAAACTATAATTAATCTAAGAGAAAATTCCTACCTCAGAGATTGACATCCATATGCATATGTGACTGATAGTAACATCACCTTAAAAGTGGTAGTTTTTTCAAATTGCCACATGATATCTTAGCATAATTTAGATGCGGATAAGATTATTAAATGTGAGCTTTAGAAAAAGAATTTGAATATAATTATCATTAGCAACATCTTTTCCAAATAAAAAAACTATGCTTTTCTAAGTGGAACTTAACCAAATGTGTGGAATATAAGATAGTTTCCAGTTTTTAATTCAAGATGAAGTGTGTTACCTTTCTATCTCATATGTTCAGCATACTTGCACTAGCACTTAAGACGATCTATGGCTTGAATAGACCTATCTAATACTCAATAACTGATTGAACGAGTCATATATGATTGTTGAAATGGTTTGAATCCTAACATGTTTGTTATTATCCCCAGCTTGTTTTCAGTTTTTGATTGTTAAATGACCCCAATTGTATCTATAACATATAAGGCTTGATCAGAACCACATTAATTTTGGTGTGTATGATCACTGTTCGGTGTTATAGATTTGTAATACGAGGACCTCTTTTTAATGGAATTCTCTTCTTTTTACTTTGAAATCAAAAGGGATCATCTGTTGTTGTTCGAGGACGTAAGAGTTGCTCAGAACCTTGTTAATTCTAGTGTATGTAACTGTCATTGTTCCTTGTTATCCATATCTCCGTGCTTTTACACAACAAACATCATGCTACTATTATATCTTGTAACCTTTTACACTAGTGAAGGTTAATATGTAGATTCTGGAGCATGATCGCCTTTCATATAAACCATGTAGTTCTCAGTTCACCAAGTAAAACCTCAAGAATTACACCATCATATATCCTCCTGATAAACTCATAAATGAAAACACTTTCTTCTTTCCTTTTCGATGACTATTAACTACAAAAACAATATGGTTGCTCACCACTTTTTGTTTGTGTATGTGAAGTTATTTGTTCAGCTGGTCTCTTACTATGAGAGTGATCTTTGTATTAATTTAAACTTTTTTCCCCTTAGTGTTAGAAGTTCATGTTTAGAAAAGTGCTTACATACAGCTACTTAACATTTTAGTGCTAGAAGTTCATGTTTAGAAAGTGCTTACATACAGCTACTTAACATTTTTCTTTCCTTGGAGGAGGTCAAATGACAGTCTCAAACATAACAATTTCTGATGTTAGTAATGACTATATATATTACTAAATATTTTCACTTGCCAACCAAATAACTTAATAATCTGTCTTATTATTATTCTCTGATTGTTTAAGCAAAGTATTACAGAAAATATTAAAAGAAAGGTAAGGCTAAGATTTTTGTGGGGGCAAAATAGAGATAATGAGAGAAAATTTGGTGCTTGGAGAAAGAAGAGACAAAGAATGCTTCTTCTATTTCAGAGGATTAGGTGAAGATAGGAGTATTAAAGTATTAGATATGTGATCAAATTAAAACAATAAACTAGAGATCAATTACAGGCTTATTCAAACTGAAATTAATCTATGAGCCATTTTCAACATAAGAGATTGACATCCATATGCATATGTCACTGATAGTAACACCACCTTAAAAGTGGTAGTTTTTTCAAATTGCTACTCGACATCTTAGCATCCTTTAGATACGGATAGGAGTACTAAAGGTGAGTTTTAGAAGAAGAATTTGATTATAATTATCATTTAGCAACAACTTTTCCATATAAGAAAACTAAGCTTTTCTAAGTGGAACTCAACCAAATGTGTAGAATATAACATAGTTTCCAGTTTTTAATTCAAGATAAAGTGTGTGTTACATTTCTACCTTACATGTCCAGCATACTTGCACCAGCACTTAAATAAGAAGTATGGCTTGACTAAACCGATCCAATACTCAATAACCGATCGAATGAGTCATACATGATTGTTGAAATAGTTTGAATCCTAACACGTACTTTTGTTATTATCCCCAGCTTGTTTTCAGTTTTTGATTGCTAAATGACCCTTTCAATTGTGTAACATGCTTGTATCTATAACATGAAACCTCGTTAATTTTGGTGTATGTTCATTGTTCACTGCTATAGATTTGTAATACAAAGACCTCTTCTTAATGCAATTCTCTTCCTTTTACTTTGCAGTCGAAAGGGATCATCTGCTGTTGTTCGAGGACGTAAGACTTGCTCGGAACTTTGCCAATTCTAGTGTGTATGTAACTGCCGTTGTTCCTTGTTATCCATATCTCTGTGTTCTTACACAACAAACATCATGCTACTATTATATTATTTTACCTTTACACTAGTGAAGGTCAATATGCAGATTCTCGAGCATGATCGCCTTCCATATAAACCACATAGTTCTCAGTTCACCAGGTAAAACCTCAAGAGTTATACCATCATTTATCCTCTTTATAAACTCATAAATGAAAACACTTTCTTCTTCTTTTTTCCTCCTCTTTTCTCTCGCTGTCACCTATTTTCAAACCATAGCTCAATCAGAGGCAGAAGCCCTCCTTAAATGGAAGAACAGCTTAATCCAAGCTGACTCACTCAATTCCTGGTCTCTGACCAACTCAAATCCCTGTAACTGGCTCGGCATTATCTGCAATGATGCTGGAAGCATCGTAGAACTTAACCTCCCCAATGCTAACCTCAATGGCACCCTGCATCAATTCAACTTCTCCTCATTTCCGAACCTCACAGCCCTCAATCTCAACTCCAACCTATTATATGGCTCCTTCCCTTCAAACATCTCAGCATTGTCTAAGCTCACCTCATTAGACCTCAGCACCAACAGCTTTCATCAGTCTCTACCGCCTGAGCTTGGAGACCTCTCAGAGATGCTCGATCTCCGTCTTTATAACAACAACTTAGTCGGTAAAATCCCATATCAGATAAGCAATCTCCGAAAGGTACAGCACTTTGATCTGAGTGCAAACTACTTGGAAAATCCAGATTATGACAGGTTCGCTCCCTTCCCTTCCGTCACCTATCTTTCTCTCTTTCTCAATAACCTTACTCTCGGATTTCCTGCTTTTGTGTTGAATTGCACTAAATTGAGGTTTCTTGATTTGTCAATGAACACGCTAACGGGCTCCATACCTGAATCACTGACAAATTTGGTTAATCTTGAGTATCTGAACCTGACTTCTAATTCTTTCCAAGGATCAATTCCGGTATTCTTAACGAAGTTTTTGAAGCTAAGAGACCTTCGGCTTAGTACAAACCAGTTCACAGGAGGAATACCTCGTGAAATTGGATCAATATCGAGTCTAAGGATACTTGAACTTGGTAACAATTCGTTAGGCGGGCCAATTCCTTCTTCACTAAGGCAGTTAAAGAATCTGGAAAGGATTGATATCAAGGTAGCTAAACTGAACTCTACCATACCAAGTGAACTTGGGGTCTGCACCAATCTCAATTATGTCGAACTGTCACTTAATCATCTCACAGGTGGCTTACCTTCATCTCTTTCGAACCTAACTAAAATAACAGATTTTGGGATATCGAGCAATTTGTTGTCTGGAGAGATATCAGGAGACTTGTTCAGGAACTGGCATAGGCTAGTTTCGTTTCAAGTGCAGGACAATTTTTTCAATGGAACAATTCCTTCGGATATTGGATTGGCAACAGAATTGAAGTACTTGTACCTTTACAACAACTTTCTTTCAGGTTCCATTCCAGCTGAAATAGGAAACCTGATCAACTTGCTTGAATTGGATTTGACAAGTAATTATCTTTCTGGTTCAATCCCAATAGAGATTTGGAAGCTTAACAATCTCATAGCATTATTCCTCGCCGCTAATGAGTTGACGAGCATGGTATCAAGTGCTTGGGACAATCAAAATAACATCACGGGCTTTCCCTCAATCCGGTATTTGTTCGTTTCCCACAATAATTTACATGGAAATATTCCTTCATTCATATGTAACATGGTTGACATCGAATATTTAGATCTCTCAAGGAATCATTTATCAGGATATTTCCCTCAATGTTGGCGGGATTTAAAAGTTTTGAAAGTGCTGAATTTGGCAAACAATAGCTTGTATGGAGAGATTCCGAGCACAGTTGGCTATATGACTTCTCTGGAATCCTTGCACCTTAATGATAACAATTTCACTGGAGAAATTCCATTATCAATGAGAAATTGCAAGAAACTTGTCATTCTGGATCTTGGGAATAATAAATTCCATGGAAATATTCCTGCATGGCTGGATAAAACATTTTCGGCACTGAAGGTCCTTCATCTAAGGTCCAACAAGTTCAATGGCAGTATTCCTCGACAATTATCTGAACTCATTTCCCTTCAAATCCTTGATCTTGCAAATAATCATCTCACAGCAAGAATTCCTCAGAGTTTCCGAAGTCTCGCAGCAATGGCTACCAGAGAAAAAACAATGGGAAGCATGTACGCTCCATCTACCTATTCCTCATTCGGTTACGAGGAAACTGTTGATATAACTATTAAAAATAGAGAACTTGAATTTCACAAGTCACTTTCTCTTGTAGTAGGGATTGATCTCTCAAACAATTATCTCACTTTGGAGATCCCTGAAGAAATAACAGCTCTTTCTGGATTGATCTTCCTGAATCTGTCAGGAAATCAACTAACTGGCAATATTCCCCAGCAAATCGGCGACTTAACTTTGTTGGAATCTCTGGATTTGTCACGGAATCAACTTTCGGGTACAATACCTTCGAGCGTTTCTGCTTTAAACTTTCTAAGTTATCTAAATATGTCGTACAATAACTTGTCGGGAAGAATTCCATCAGGTCGCCAGCTCCAAACACTTAATAATCCGTTGATGATCTACATTGGCAACCATGATCTTTGTGGGGAGCCACTAAGAAAAAATTGTTCAGTTGATAACACTAGAGCATTCAGCAACGTTGACAGAAATGAACTGAGAAATGGGGATGATGATCAGATGATCATATGGCTATATGTGAGCATCGCAGCAGGATTTGTAGTCGGATCTTGGGGATTTTGGAGTATTTTGATTTTTAAAAAATCTTGGAGAGTCGCTTTTTTGTGGTTTATTGATGATGTGCAAGATATGGTATACACTATGATAACTTTGAGAAGTTCTTAGGAAGCTCATAATAACTATGATGTACACTTATCTTTCTCCTTTTTTTCCCATACAGTTCAGACTTTTATGTATTCGTGCGGTTAATACGTACAAGTTGAACACTTGAAAATATTTGTAATCGTGAAATCTATAAAATATTTTTCTAAATACATGTGTCTTCTTCCATTTCTTTTTTCTTAATGCTCTTAGAAATTAAAAAAAGATTAGATTTAGTAAAACCTAGATTGGAGTACCTGAAAAACTGTACAACAAGAGATTTTGCCTCATAAACTTTAACATGTGTAATCATTCAGTCTCAGTTGATAGTTTCATGATGTAGCACGGACACGGATCCGACACGGCCATCCGACACGCCGATACGAGGCAAATCCTAAAAAATACACAGATTTTGGGATATCGAGCAATTTGTTGTCTGGAGAGATATCAGGAGACTTGTTCAGGAACTGGCATAGGCTAGTTTCGTTTCAAGTGCAGGACAATTTTTTCAATGGAACAATTCCTTCGGATATTGGATTGGCAACAGAATTGAAGTACTTGTACCTTTACAACAACTTTCTTTCAGGTTCCATTCCAGCTGAAATAGGAAACCTGATCAACTTGCTTGAATTGGATTTGACAAGTAATTATCTTTCTGGTTCAATCCCAATAGAGATTTGGAAGCTTAACAATCTCATAGCATTATTCCTCGCCGCTAATGAGTTGACGAGCATGGTATCAAGTGCTTGGGACAATCAAAATAACATCACGGGCTTTCCCTCAATCCGGTATTTGTTCGTTTCCCACAATAATTTACATGGAAATATTCCTTCATTCATATGTAACATGGTTGACATCGAATATTTAGATCTCTCAAGGAATCATTTATCAGGATATTTCCCTCAATGTTGGCGGGATTTAAAAGTTTTGAAAGTGCTGAATTTGGCAAACAATAGCTTGTATGGAGAGATTCCGAGCACAGTTGGCTATATGACTTCTCTGGAATCCTTGCACCTTAATGATAACAATTTCACTGGAGAAATTCCATTATCAATGAGAAATTGCAAGAAACTTGTCATTCTGGATCTTGGGAATAATAAATTCCATGGAAATATTCCTGCATGGCTGGATAAAACATTTTCGGCACTGAAGGTCCTTCATCTAAGGTCCAACAAGTTCAATGGCAGTATTCCTCGACAATTATCTGAACTCATTTCCCTTCAAATCCTTGATCTTGCAAATAATCATCTCACAGCAAGAATTCCTCAGAGTTTCCGAAGTCTCGCAGCAATGGCTACCAGAGAAAAAACAATGGGAAGCATGTACGCTCCATCTACCTATTCCTCATTCGGTTACGAGGAAACTGTTGATATAACTATTAAAAATAGAGAACTTGAATTTCACAAGTCACTTTCTCTTGTAGTAGGGATTGATCTCTCAAACAATTATCTCACTTTGGAGATCCCTGAAGAAATAACAGCTCTTTCTGGATTGATCTTCCTGAATCTGTCAGGAAATCAACTAACTGGCAATATTCCCCAGCAAATCGGCGACTTAACTTTGTTGGAATCTCTGGATTTGTCACGGAATCAACTTTCGGGCACAATACCTTCAAGCGTTTCGGCTTTAGACTTTCTAAGTTATCTAAATATGTCGTACAATAACTTGTCGGGAAGAATTCCATCAGGTCGCCAGCTCCAAACACTTAATAATCCGTTGATGATCTACATTGGCAACCATGATCTTTGTGGGGAGCCACTAAGAAAAAATTGTTCAGTTGATAACACTAGAGCATTCAGCAACGTTGACAGAAATGAACTGAGAAATGGGGATGATGATCAGATGATCATATGGCTATATGTGAGCATCGCAGCAGGATTTGTAGTCGGATCTTGGGGATTTTGGAGTATTTTGATTTTTAAAAAATCTTGGAGAGTCGCTTTTTTGTGGTTTATTGATGATGTGCAAGATATGGTATACACTATGATAACTTTGAGAAGTTCTTAGGAAGCTCATAATAACTATGATGTACACTTATCTTTCTCCTTTTTTTCCCATACAGTTCAGACTTTTATGTATTCGTGCGGTTAATACGTACAAGTTGAACACTTGAAAATATTTGTAATCGTGAAATCTATAAAATATTTTTCTAAATACATGTGTCTTCTTCCATTTCTTTTTTCTTAATGCTCTTAGAAATTAAAAAAAGATTAGATTTAGTAAAACCTAGATTGGAGTACCTGAAAAACTGTACAACAAGAGATTTTGCCTCATAAACTTTAACATGTGTAATCATTCAGTCTCAGTGGGCGCTTTTGATGGTTTCATCATGATGGATCATCATAATCTTAGTGTTCACCTTGGTTCTCATCCATGTTAGAAGTTTATTTAAGTGCTAACTTCACTTCTGAGCTTGATTGTAAGATTAGCACGGTGTCTCTAGGTAATAGTAGAGTTGAAAATAATATGAATTTCCTTTCAAGATTATTTTTTCTTTTATTTTCAGTTGTATATTCATTTGGTGGATATAAAATGTTAATCAAATAGCTTGAATTTTGTGGACATATTTCTTCTGGTGAGTAATTTGTTTGCTTGTTTTCAGGATTGGATCACATATATTTTTGTTTTTATTCTTTTCTTCATTTTGTTTGATAAAGTGGTGAATTATGTAAGGACTGAGGGGTCTAATAAAGTGAAATCAAATGCATCGAGATTTCATTATTTGCTTCTATCTCTCTAAAGATAGTGTGAGAATTTTAAGGTTACTGCCAACCAGAATCTGGCTATTTTCTGTGCAAACTTATATGGTTTAGTTAATAATCTGCTTATACTTTGTATGTGGGTGTCCATCTTCCCTATACATATTTGTACAGGTTTCGCCTAGTCAAGCATGGAGTTTTTTCATGTTAAAATCAAACGTCAAGCATGGCAAAGACATTAAAAATTAGAGAATATGATGCACTCAGCTAAAGAACTTTTTTGGATCATATCACAGCATACTGTTAATGTTGGTGATATAATAGTATGGTGCCAATGATGTTGGCAATAAAATAGCAATATTGTTAACAATATTAATCACATTAAAGATGTCAATAGTACAATATTTTACTCACGATAGAGACTACTATATTATTCAGGTCTTGCTGTGCCACGGTACAGAGCCGGGTTTGATTCCCGGCTGGTGCCTTATGTAACAGAATTTTACTGCACTAATGAACATGAATAATTTTAACTGCTTTTTATCTTTTCTATACACTCAACATATCTTCTTTCAATATATTATATCTGCTTGTGCAAGTTTATTGTTTTAATCATTCGTCGAAACACAGTAGTTCATGTTTTCCGTCATTAACTCCTTATTTTCCTTGATTCCGAGGTTATGCACCATGACGCTTGCTTGTACTCTTCAATAAACACGAGATGAAAATAGTAAGGTATCGATAATGCATACCTATCTAATTTGTTCAGGATTCCCATCTGTGCAAGAGATGCCCGATCGAGTCACATCGTCCTTTGAATCACATTGGATCTGCCATAGAGAAACATAACATATTTAGGATCAATTAGTCCTGCCAATGAAAAGCATTAGAATTGCAGACTATTTCCCTGTAATGACATCAAAATGACAGCATTTAGCCTGAATGCATACTATGATACTACAATATTCTATTTTTCCGGAAAATTGAAAATACATTAGCCCTTAATTGAGTCATGAATCCAATTACATTTAACTGGATATAAATAAACCTCAAATCTTTTGCTTGATATTTACCAAATTCAGTTCACGATAAAAAATCTACTGATTTCAAAGAATGGGATTAGAAATATTGAAGAATTACAGGGGGGGATGAGATTTTGAGATACCATTTTGGGAGCTCAAGCCCCAAACTCCATCTTTTGTAGATTGTGGATCAGAGATTCGGCCGCCATTTCTTCCCTCTTTACCCAAATCTCTATCGAGGTTAGAGCTAGAATTAGGGTTTTTATTTCTTCGCTGAGCCTCAAATTGGGGGAAGTGAATATTATGGAAGACAAGGGACACGTGCAAAATGTATAGATGGCCACGTGGAGGGTCTAGCGCGGGAAAACTCCTTATGCCGATGGGCCTTAATTGGGCCCAGCCTATAAATGGACATTTCCTGATTTTTTTTTTAAGGCAATTTTTAAAGAGTTAGGCATTGTTTAACAGAAGGACCAAATTGATTTTGTTTATTTCCATTTTTTGCACAGGTTTACTATAGGCTTCAACACATTGTCTGTTGGAACAATTAATAGAAAACGGCAAAATTCGACTGTTGTTTGGTTGATAAGAAGCATTAAAAGTAAGAAGCAAATTAAATCTACTACTTCTAAAATTATGAAATAGGAAAGTATAGCGAAAGTACTACTTTCTTTATTTATTTTATAAATTTTTTGAAGTAGAGGAAATAACATTTTTTTTCTATGTTACTTACTTTTTTTGTTTGGTAGCAATTATAAATAATGTTAGGAAGAGAGAAAGAGAATCTTTTGGGATTATATTTAGAAATAGAGAATATCAATTCAATAAAAAAATAATTTTATTCCTAAATTGACTCGATTTCAGCTACTTCTGAGGTACTTCCAAGCCTTGAGGGGAGGAAAAAGATCAAAAAAAGTAGAGAGAAAAATATCACCACGTCATTTTTTAAGAAAGTAATGAAAGTGATCTTTTTTTCAGGGAAACAAACATACTTGAATTCATCTCGGAAATGGCAGAAATAGCCCCTACTTCCTTTACTTCAGCTAATATAGTTAGCTCCGTGCAAACAAATACGCCATATAAAATCAAGTAAATCCAACATAGTCTTCTGTTAGATATGTAACAGGGGTCAATATTTTCGGTTGTCTTGATTGTTGCCTGAGCAAGGTAACAAATTAATTAAATATCAGCATTGTCTAAACTTACCTCATTAGACTTCGCCAGCAATGACTTTGATCCCTCTCTTCCACCTGAAATGAGCAAAATTTCAGGAACCATCAATCTTTGTTTTATACAACAATAAATTAGTCGGAGAAACCCCATATCAGATGATCAATCTTCAAAACGAACAGCATCTTGATCTGTCTGAGCTCAAACTATTTGGAAATTTCAAACTACGACAGGTTTGCTCATTTGCCTTCAGTGATGTTTCTTGATTTGTCAATGAACTTGTTAAGAGGGAAAACTGTAGAATTAGCAGGAACAGGCATTGGCAGGCAGACAAGTTGGCGGTCGACCGCGGCGGTCTACCGCGTTCGTGCACAGAGCTTACTGGGCGTCTGGATTGGTGGCAGTCGACCGCGGCAATCGACCGCAGAAGTCTCTGGATATTTTGGGTCTGTTCTGGAGTGTGGGCGGTCGACCGCCACGATCGACTGCCGTAGCGATTTTGGGCTGGGTCTGTTTTCCAGACCCGTTTCGTTTGGGTTCTCTATAAATACCCAAACTCGATTATAGGGTTTGTAAGCAAGGGTTTTTTGAGCAGATTGAGAGGGTTTTCTTTGGGCTTCTATTCTAGAAGTAATTGGTGAGATCAAGAGTTGATTTGTTGAGGGTTTATGAGAGATTTGTAACCTTGGTTGTATCCCCTTGATTTCTAATAGTGAAAACTCCCCCTTCCTTGCCCCGTGGACGTAGGCATCTTGCCGAACCACGTAAAATATTGGTGTTTGATTGTTTGTGCTATTGTTAGTGTGTTGCTTTATCTCTCTCGGCGATTTGGATTTGGATCTCGGCATAGGGGTTTCTCCCCAACAAAAACTTGATACCGGCACGGTATGGGTGAGATGGATGAATGGATAATATGGATACGAAGCCGATCACTCTAAGGATACAGATTTCACCACCTTAGAATAAACGACATGGTTAGCCGACCGATCTAGAGAAACAGATACGACCACTATAGATATATACGACGATTCATCACTCCAAGGACCCCACCTTAGAGATACAGATAAACACTCACAAAATTCTAACTGGCAAGAGACTGATCTTAAATAAAACTAGACACAAATATCAATCCAACACTTCAATTGGAGCATCATTTGGACTTCTCTAGAGAAAGTAAGGTCAAAGCGATTAAGACCGTGCACACATTCTAGAATCCGAATTTGCAATTTGGGCTCCATCACAATTCCTGAAACGGTGATAAAGGTTAACCTCAAGCATCTGAACTTGACAACAAATTCTTTGCAAGGACCAGTTCAAGTTCCTTCAGAGTTCCACTCTTCGAATGCTTGAAATTGCAAATAACTCATCCCGTGCGTGGTTCGATTCCTTTTCCAGTAGAGAAATTGAAGGATCTTGAAAGGATTGATATCAAGCTATCTGAACTGGACTCGTTGCTGGAAATTAATTTTTTTAATCTAAAGAGTTTTTAACTTTTTGAAAAGTTAGAAAAACGCGCACGCAGCCATTCTTGAAAGAAAATGCAAGATGACAAACGGTGGCAATTTTTTGTTGAAAAAGAAAATAAAGTTGTGGGCCCCGCCAAAGAAAAATCTGGACGTGGGCCCCACATGCATAGTAAGTAATATTGTTTTATTAGTGCATAGTATTTTTTCCAAACGCTATAAATCTATAGACTATTACTAAAAGTTGTTACCCTTCAATTCGCCACTTGGCAAAAATGCCACTTGACAAAAATGGTCAATACCATTTTAAACAACACTTGGCAAACATATCAATTGTTATCTTCTTGCAAGTGTCACTTGTCAAGTTTCTACAAAAGTTCTCCATATTAAATTTGAAATAAAAAATAAAAAATAAAAAGTTCTCCTTGAGATTTGAACTAACTCTCCCTTCATTTTCAATTTTCCAAACAAGACGCTTCGTAAACTGTTTGAACTGTTTGTATTCTTTTGCTACATCAATTTTTGTATATTAAACAAATCCGTGCATCGCACGGGCCTAAAACTAGTAGACCCTAAATCCTTAAGTAAAATTCATTCCAAAAACAACAATCAATATATACGTACAGATATATATATGTTGTAGAATAGCTAGTGCTCGTAGGAACAGTGCCTACACCGAGAAGGTCTTATAGATCAAGGAGATCTTTGTCTTATAGATCGAGGAGA